AGGGGGGGGGCGGCGTAGACTTGCTCCCGGCAGCCCACCAACCTCCCCCCAACCGGACGTCTCGTGACTGGGGGCCAACACGGGGGGAGGGGGGGGACCCAGGGCCGCAGGACGGACAGGGGCCCCAAAAGAGGGGGGGGCCCTTTGGAGGCCCCGGAGGTGTACGCAGCGCACACCTCTCCGACCTAGACGTCCGACGTCGTGGGTTTCTCGAGACAGCTTCCCCGGAGGCCTGGACCTTCCCCCCCGGGGCCGGCTCTTCGGTCCCGAGTCGTGTTCTGACGGCCCCGGGGCCCGGCGAAGGCCGAAACCAACGAACGTTCTGGGGATCCCCCCCCCGTTGTGGCACCCCCCCCCTCCCCCCCCCCTCGAGCATCGCCCTGCCCAAGAACCCAGCGCCTCGCGGGACGCCGCGGGGCCCCGAGGAGGCCACCCCCAGGGGGGCCCGTCGCCCCCGACGGGCGAGCCGCAGCCCTCCGCGCGGGCGCTCCGCCGCCCCTGGCGCGCGCGGCCGCGCGCACCTCGCCGCCAGGCGCCTCAAGAGCCAGGTCGCCCGCAAAGCCACACACGAGGTACCCCCAGCGCCCGAGGCGCGAGGGCGAGGAGGGAGGAGGGAGGAGGGAGGAGGATGGAGGAGGAGGATGGAGGAGGATGGAGGAGGATGGGGGAGGAGAAGGAGGAGGAGGAGGAGGGAGGAAGAGGAGGAGGAGGAGGAGGAGGAGGAAGAGGAGGATCATTTTCATCATCAGCATCATCATCATCATCATCATCATCATCATCATCATCATCATCATCATCATCATCATCATCATGTTCATCATCATCATCATCATCATCATCATCATCATCATCATCATCATCATCATCATCATGTTCATATTCATATTCATCATCATCACTACTATTATCATCAGCATCAGCATCATCAGCATCATCATCATCAGCATCAGCATCAGCATCATCATAAGCATTACCAGCATCATCACATCATTAGCATCACATCATATGCAGCCGTTTCAGCTTAAGCCTTTTTCGATGTTGAAGGAGCGGCGACTCTGCACGCGTGGAGGGCTATACCACGTTGTTCCCTCGTTCGTCTCTTCTTCTTCGCTGTAATGGCGACGGCCTCGGTGCAGACGCTGGCGTCGTCGACTCTCTGTTCCACTGCAACAGCGGTGTCTGGCGCATTCCGTCCTCGTGGGCGACGTTCTCTCAAGGCTGTCCATCAACGTGCCGCGCTCGTCGGCTCGGCTACGTTCGTGACCGACCAGCCGAACATGTCCACGTACTCGTCCCTGAACCCGTTCGGATTGAAGCCAAAACTCTTGTGACGACCACTAACATGACAGAATCGCTGGAGGATTCCCTTCGGGGATCATCCGTTAATATTGGAACGATACAGAGAAGATTAGCATGGCCCCTGCGCAAGGATGACACGCACAAATCGAGAAGTGTATACAATTTTTTAAAAATGACAGAATCGCTGGAGCTGCATGCGGGTATCCACGGGCGCAAGGGCAATGACATCAAAGCGGCGGCCCTGCACAGCGGCGCCACTATAGCTGCTGAAGCACAGCAGCTTCACTCCATCAACAAGCATGGCAACGTTGCGAGGCATCGCAACTGGCGTCTGGCTTAGCCTGGAAGAAGGTCCTGGGCAGACATTGTGGACGGCAGCGCCACGGCAAATCGGGGGCTGCACCTCGACAGAATCTTTGAGGACAAGCGTACGCTGAAGAACTCCCACCTGCTCAACACGGACACTGACGACGACTTCAGGCACCAAGCCAGCATCGAGTACCAGGACGACCCCAAAGGGCGGGCCTGCTTTTTCCAAGTGTGCTGGGTCGTACCGCCGTTCTGGTTCAAACCATTATCCCTCCCTTTGCGCGCGATTCCACAGAATGGAGATGGACCGCGTCATGGAGTCCTCCGACAAGCGTCTGCACGACACTTTGGGGCGGCTGGTCGCGGACATGCTAAAGACTTCCGGCGCGCTCCTTACGGCAATCGGCGAGAATGTCCAGACTGCTATGAACGTGAACTTCGTGATCAGGGACGCGCTTGGCGCCGTCGCCAACGAAATCATGAAGGCGATGCTACAGAGCTTACGACCAACCTCCTGCAGTGCCAGGCCAAGATCACCATGATTGAGGAGACTTTCAAGATGACGGGCACGCAGACCAGTACGCTGCAGCATAATATGGAGTCGAAAATGGCCACCCTCGAGGCGCTGTTGGAGAGGACCGAGGAACACTATCTCAAAGAGCTCAACACTGAGAGCGATGAGAGGGACAGGGATGCTGCGAAAATGATCTCCGGGATCGAGAAGATCGAGACCCGTATCTTCAGCTCCAACGGCACGCAGCATGCCGAGAGGGAAACGCACGCATCCCCCGAGAGCCCCGACCACGGCACCGACGTCTGCTTCAAGACCCTGGTCTCGGGATCCAAGTTCGAGAAGTGCGTCCGCAAGTTTGCCCCCGTCCTGGACGGCCAGCACTTCGACACCGCAGTGCTCACATCGTGTTTCGCTCCTACCTCGCCGCCGCCTGCGGCGTCCGCACCATCAATGACTACGACTTCTTGGGCTGCCCGCTGCCGCGGGCGATACAAGCTTTGCGAAGCTGTCCGAAGCTACGTGCGCTCATCATCATCAGCATCATCATCAGCAGCGCCATCACCACCATCATCATCACACTCACCACCACCATCATCCTCATGTTCGCCATCGGCATCGTCATCAGCATAACCACCATCATCAGCAGCACCATCATCAGCATCAACATCACCATCCTTCAGTATGTATTAGTATGATCCTCCTCGTCCTCCCGCTGTTGCTGTCTAGATTATCCTCAAATCACTCTTCTTCCTCCTATTATTCGTCCTCTTCCTCCTTCTCCTCCTCCTCCGTCTCCTCCGTCTCTTCCGTTTCCTCCTCCTCTTCCTCCTGTCTTCCTCCTCTTCCTTCTCCTCCTCCTCCTCCTCCCCCTCCTCCTTCTTATCCTCCTGTGGGCGTGGCTATCGCCGTCGTGGGGGCCCAAGTGGCCGCCAGTGCCGTCGGTGACCAAGCCAGCGTCGCCGTTGGAGTCGAAGGACAAGAACCAGTCGGGGAGCGACAAAGCAGAGGCGTCAAGCGCGGACTGCACGACGCATCGTGGCGAGGACTCACAGGGCCAGCGCCAGGGGCAGCGTCTGGACCCTCCGAGGCAGGCGCCATCACGTTGGCGCCATTGCGGATTCTCAGCATGCTGATGAAGGGCCCGCGAGCCAGGCGACGCCAACCCGGGATGAGGAGCAGAGCTCCAGCCCTGCTCAGTTCGCAGCTTGGCCTCCAGATGTCGAGGAGGCGATTGGAGATTATACTTGTTTTTCTGATTCGGAAGGCCTCGCCTGCGCTAGCGAGGTTGATTGGGACCTATTTCTACCTCTTGATTGTTGCGCAGCGCGACCTGGAGCACATAATCTGGTCCTTTTACCTGGTGGTAGTCGCCGAAACGGCTACTGGGCACGCTGGTGATGAGGATTTCTTGATCACACTGATGGTGTTCGTGATCGACTCGATCGTGGACTTCGTGGCCCGCTGTCTGACGAGGCGAAGCAGATGCGGTCGCAGACGCCTCTCCCGAGAATTTCGGGCACTGCTCCTGAAAGTCGCCGCTTCCCCTCGCCATGCTGGCTCCTCCTCCCCCTTCTCCTCCTCCTTCCTCCTCCTCCTCCTGGTCTCCTCCTCCTCCTCCTCCTACTCCTCCTCCTCCTCCTCCTCCTCTCTCCTCCTCTCTTCCTCCTCCTCCTCCTCCTCTTCCTCCTCCTCCTCCTCCTCCTCCTCCTCCTCTTCCTTCTCCTCCTCCTCCACCTCATCCTCCTCCTCCTCCTCATCCTCCTCCTCGTCCTCCTCCTCCTCCTCCTCCTCCTCGCCCTCTTTCTGCGCATCTTCTCCCGTCCTCCTAGGCGCAGGGCCTGGGGCTCTCGCCCGACGACCCCGTCTCACAGCCAAAGCGTGGGAGTGAGGACCGCCTTCTGGAAGCGGGAGGGGGCTCAGGAGGACGAGCCGGAGGGGGGGGGAGGAGGAGGGCTCCTGAGGGCGAGGGGGGCGAGGACAGAGCGAGGACCAGTTTCCAGAAGCAAGAGGGGGCGAGGAGGACGAGCAGGAGAAGGGGAAGGAAGAGAGTTCCCGAGGACGAGTGGGGCGAGGAATCGGGGCTCCCGAGGACGAGGGGGGGGGGGAATCGGTTCTTCCTCGGGCGGTCCTCGAAAGTGGCCTGGGGCCTCCGGCCGCGGCAGGCCCTGGACGCCGACGACGGGGAGGAGAGGGCGGCCGCGGAGGACGCGCTCCAGGGAAGGGGCGGAGGGGTGGGCGGAGAGGAGACACCCAGGAAGGCGCCCAGTAGGAGGAGGAGGAGGAGGAGGAGGAGGAGGAGGAGGAGGAGGAGGAGGAGGAGGAGGAGGAGGAGGAGGAGGAGGAGGAGGAGGAGGAGGAGGAGGAGGAGGAGGAGAGGAGGAGGAGGAGGAGGAGGAGGAGGAGGAGGAGGAGGAGGAGGAGGAAGGAGGAGGAGGAGGAGGAGGAGGAGGAGGAGGAGGAGGAGGAGGGAGGAGGAGGAGGAGGAGGAGGAGGAGGAGGAGGAGGAGGAGGAGGAGGAGGAGGAGGAGGAGGAGGGAGGAGGAGGAGGAGGAGGAGGAGGAGGAGGAGGAGGCGGAGAAGGAGGAGGAGGAGGAGGGGAGGAGGAGGCGGAGGAGGAGGAGGAGGAGGAGGAGGAGAGGAGGAGGGGGGGAGAGGGGAGGAGGAGGAGGAGGAGGAGGAGGAGAAGGAAAAGGAGGAGGAGGAGGAGGACGATGACGAGGACGAGGACAAGGACGATGACGAGGACGAGGACGGGGAGGAGGACGAGGACGGGGAGTAGGAGGACGACGACGAGCTCGATGAGGAGGAGGACGAGGACCAGGACCAGGACCAGGACGAGGACGAGGACGAGGACGAGGACAGGGAGGAGGAGGACGAGGATGAGCTCGATGAGGAGGAGGAGGACGAGGACGAGGGCGGGGAGGAGGAGGAAGAGGAGGAGGAGGAGGAGAAGGAGGAGGAGGAGGAGGACGCTGTCGGCGATTGTGCCCATGCCGTTTTTGGCCCACGCGGCCCCTGAAACACCCGCCCGAAAAAGGTCGATGTAGAAACGCACGCCTCCCAATGTATGAGTCGGTTGTGTTGATCAGGGCCAGAGGACCTGAATACGATGTTTCCTAGGCTGGGTTGGGGAAATCCAGTTTCGGCGACGCGGTCGAGGTGACGCGCTGAGAGTCACCCACGTCCCTGCTCACAAGCCCTGGCCGCAGGAGATCCGCGACGCCGACCAGACAGCCAAGAGAGCTGCTGAACAGATCCCAGTCCCCATGAATTCGTGAATCGTTTTTGCCAGCAGCGGGACAGGCTCCATATCCTGGGCGAGCTTGCAGGTGCTATGTGCTCGAGGTTGCAGGTCGCCCCAGCTTCCGTTCTGTTTCGCGCGTCGCTGCCCAGCGGCCAAGACCCTCAGTAGGTCCCCGGCTCCTCTTGTGCCCCGAACCGACTGGGCACGTTTTTCAACGTTGGGAGAGGAGCTGGCGGTGCGCGACATGTCTCGACCGTGGCAGGAATTGGGTCCTCCTCGCTAGCCGCTAGCTACAAGTGCACAGGCCTGCCCAGGATCTCCGCCAGGTCCACTCTTCGCATCGTCTGCGGAGAGGGGATCCCGATGCGTCGCTGCCTGAGGCTTGGTTCTCCCTGTGTGGCTGCTTCGCCAGACATCGAGCGCATCTGAATTTGGGGCCCTGCCACGAGGGCCCCCGCCACGAAGCTGCTTCGAAACCCTTGGACATGCGAGCCAGGAAGAGGGGCCCGAACACCACAGCACGCCCGTCAGCACAGGGAGGGTGCGCGAGGTGCCGCCTCTCAAACATGTTTTGTTTCGGCCTATGTGTTGCGCTGCTCCCCGAGCGAAGCGGATCTTAGCCCCACCTGGAAACTTGGAAACTTGGATGGGGGCTGAGGAGAAGATGGACAACAGGAAGGAAGAGGAGGAGGAGGAAGAGACGGGAGAGGAACTGGACGAGGAGGAGGAGGAAGAGGAGGAGGAGGAGGAGGGGAGGAGGAGGAGGAGGAGGAGGAACATGAGGAGGACGAGGATGATGCGCCCAAGGAGAAAACAGAGGGGGGCGAGAATAATAGGGAGGAGGAGGAGGAAGAGAAGGAACAGGAGGGGAAGGAGGAGGAGGGGGAGCATCGAGAGGAAGATCAGGAGGAGCAGCAACACCAGCAGCGGCAGGAGTAGCAGGAGGGGGATGAAGAGGCGCTCGGGGGCCGTGCAACTTGATGCGAGGCTGGGTCTAACCCATTTGGGTTGCGGCTGTTGCGCTGAAAGCGAATTGGCATGGCATGGTGAATGCTGGTGGCGGCATCCTTCTTATGAGTTTGATGATCTGATGTTAGTGCCACTCCGAACTAGGCTGGCGCCACCTGCCTGGCGTGGTCACCCGAATGGCCTCGTCCATGTGTTCTCCGTTGTGTTCTTGCAACGTCCAGCGTCCACGCTGAGCGCTGACAGCCCAAGACTGGCCTCTCTGACCAGTCCCTCCTGTGCGATGGTGGGCTCTCTGCGGCTACGGTTGGCAGCCCTCGACCGTGGCCTCTCGGAGTCCGTGCCTCGTGGGATGGCACCCGACGCAGGAGCTGATCGAGGACGCCGGCGGCGCATCACCGGCCGCTCCCTGGGAGTTTGTCGAAGTGGTGCGCAGCATCGCACGTCGTGACGCTCCAGGGGCCTCTTGGGGGCGTCCCAGGGGCTTCTTGGAGACCTCTTGGGGCCCTCTTGGGGCCTCTTGGGGCTCTCTTGGGGTTTGTTGGGGGCCTCCAGGGAGCCTCTTAGGGCCTCCTGGGGGCCTCTTGAGCCGAAAGCTCGAAATGTTCATTCGGGTTCCCCTTCTGGGCCTCCTCTTGGGGCCATCCTGGGGCCCCTCTTGGGCCGTCCCAGGGGCCTCTTGAGCGGTCTGGGGGCCCTCTTGGGCCGTCTTGGGGCCGTCATGGGGGCCTGTTGGGCCGTCCTGGGGCGATCTTGGGGGCCTCTTGGGCCGTCGTGGAGCGTGGGTAAGCCGAAATGGCGTGAACGTGAAAATCCTTCAACAACCATTGAAAAATTTGCTTCTCGGGGCTGTCTTGGGGGTGCTCTTGGAGCCCTCTTGGGCCGTCTTGAAGGCGTCTTGGGCCGTCTGGAGGCCATCTTGGGCGTCTTGGAGCGATCTGGAACCGTCTGGAGGCTCTCTTGGACTGCTCGGGACTCTCTTGGACCGGCTTGGGGCGCCCTTGGGTCGTCCCCGGGCCGTTTGAGACCTTGAAGGGGGCCGGCGGCAGAGTGGGGCCGGCGGCAGAGTAGGGCCCCCTCGGAGGGACTTTCAGGAGGTTTTTTGACCAGGCATTGGAGAAGGGGGCCAAAGATTGTGCCAGACACTGTGTCAGAGAGGTCTCGCACGGCCCAACCCGCCGGGCGGGAGCGGCCGGATCTGCAGGGCTGCGGCCTCTGCCGCCGACCGCCCAGGAGAAGGAGGAGGAGGAGGAGGAGGAGAGGAGGAGGAGAGAAGGAGGAGAGGAGGAGGAGAGGAGGAGGAGGAGGAGGAGGAGGAGGCGGAGGAGGAGGAGGAGGAGGAGAGGAGGCGGAGGAGGAGGAGGAGGAGGAGGAGGGAGGAGGAGGAGGAGGAGGAGGAGGAGGAGGAGGAGGAGGAGGAGGAGGAGGAGGAGGAGGAGGAGGAGGAGGAGGAGGAGAGGAGGAGGAGGAGGAGGAGGAGAGGAGGAGGAGGAGGAGGAGGAGGAGGAGGAGGAGGAGGAGAGGAGGAGGAGGAGGAGGAGGAGGAGGAGGAGGAGGAGGAGGAGGAGGAGGAGGAGGAGGAGGAGGAGGAGGAGGAGAGGAGGGAGGAGGAGGAGGAGGCGGAGGAGGAGGAGGAGGAGGAGGAGGAGGAGGAGGAGGAGGAGGAGGAGGAGGAGGAGGGAGGAGGAGGAGGAGGAGGAGGAGGAGGAGGAGGGAGGAGGAGGAGGAGGAGGAGAGGAGGAGGAGGAGGAGGAGGAGGGAGGTGGAGGAGGAGGAGGAGGAGGAGAAGGAGGAGGAGGAGGAAGGAGGAGGAGGAGGAGGAGGAGGAGGAGGATGGGGAAGAGGAGGAGGAGGGAGGAGAAGGAGGCCGACCGCCTTCGCTGGGCCAGGCCAGAAGCGCTGGGCATAGGAGCCTGGCCAGCCAGCCGCATTTGCAAGGGCATTATCACCGTGGTACTCTCCACTTCGTTCCCTTCCCATCCCCTTTGACATCGGGCGCCGTTGTTTCATCCCGAGTCGTTGTTTGACGGTCGCGGGTCCTGAACATAGCCATCAGGGCCTCCGCATGCCGGAGAGTCGGCAGTCTCGATGTCTTCGGGCTGCGGGATGTCTCGGCCCTTCGGCGATGCGCCAAACATGTTGCTCGGATCGTCCCCAAATGCGATTTGGGCTCTCTGAGGCCATGTCAGTCGTTCCAGCCCCAGCCCCCCCTCCTCCCACGCAGCACCCCCCAATAATGTGATTCTGGCTCCTCTGCGGGTCTCCCGTGTATTTCATGCCCCAGCCCCCCTACCTTCTAGACACCCCCTCTCCCGCTCCATCCCCGGCTCAATGGGCCCTGGGGGTGCGCAAGAAAACATGTTCGGAGCATGAAAAATACGATTTGCAGTTCTTCCGATCCTTCGGAAATGCTTGCCATCAGTGCGAATCCGACCCCCCATTACCCATGTTATTCAACACTACGGCTAACATGACCAATGCGCTTTGATACCGGTGATGCTGATTGCGTTGACCAAATAGCCACCCTGGCCACGTAAGGGCTGGGGTGGTGCTTCTGGACCCTCAAGTCTTCCTGGCCCCTTGGGTTCTTCGAACCCTTTACATGTTCCAAAGCCTTCATGTCCTCAGTACCTTATCATGTACTTACGGCCCCTTCGCCAAGCTGGTAGCATGAATGTTTGGGCATAGCTTTCGAGGGCGGGGGGTCCCAGCCACCTCCGAAAAAAGATATGGGCCCCAGGCGTCATTCGCAAGATGCGACGGCTTCTGCGCGAGATCGCCAGGTTTGCTTAGATGTGCCGTCCGCCCTTCCATGGCCCCAGTGCCTAGAGCTTCGCATCGAAGACATACAGCCCAGGAATCAGGGAAGAGGGTGGCGGCCATGCGGCGCGGATTTGACGCCATGAACCCAACCGCCCCACCCGGGCATTCACGCCGTACAAGTGCAACACTTACCTCAACTGCAATTTAGAACTTCTATCCCGAAGCAAATCACACACCGAGCCGAATGCGGCACTCGCAAAATATGTGAGCTCCTAGGCAGCGACCGTGCACGACGGAGCACGATGAGCATATAATTTCGACGCGTCCCCAGTGCATCACAGGGAACGCGTCCAGCGGGCGCAGCCTGGAGACGACCTCAGACCCCCACATCGCCCAGACAGTTTCCGCGTAACCAAAACCGCGTGCAACATAATCAGACACTGAAGCAGCCAAGGCGTGGACCTTTTGCCCTGGGAGGGCGGCGCGATTATGAAATGCGCTTGGGAATTCAAGTATGACAGCGCTTCCCTGCTGATGATGGTATCTCTGAACTTCCTAGCCTGCCCGACTGGGTATTGTCAAAACGGAGAGAGGACGCGTCGTTGCATTACACCCTACTGCTCTGAATTGTTCGGTAGCTCATTTGGTCATGTTGAGATGTGTGGCATGGACATCCAAGGCGTTCGTGCGTATGCGGCCCTCGACCGTGTCTTCGAGTCTACCTTCCCCTGAGCCAGTTGACCTGGCACGCCCGGCGCGAGCGCAGACATGTCGGATGCCCAGATGCCCAGATTATCATCATCATGTCTTGTCATCTTCATCATCATCATCATCACCATCTTCATTGCCCTGCTGCTTCCTCATCCTCCTCCTCCTCCTCCTCCTCCTCCTCATCCTCATCCTTCTCCTCCTCCTGTGATGCCCAATTCCTCCTCCTCCTCCTCCTCCTCCTCCTCCTCCTCCTCCTCATCATCATCATCATCATCATCATCATCATCGTCACTGCCCTGCTGCTTCCTCATCCTGGGCGGGCCGCCGCCATATCCGCAGGCGCTCAGGGAACCAGCCCGAAAAGTCGCCAGGCGCCGCGATCCTGCTCCGGCAGCTGTTGCGGGGGATGATGATGATGATGATGATGATGATGATGATGATGATGATGATGATGATGATGATGATGATGATGATGATGATGATGAGGAGGAGGAGGAGGAGGAGGAGGAGGAGGAGGAGGAGGAGGAGGAGGAGGCAGGAGCAGGAGCAGGAGCAGGAGCAGGAGCAGGAGCAGGGAGGAGGAGGAGAAGAGGAAGAGGAGGAGGAGGAGGAGGAGGAGGAGGAGGGGGAGGAGGAGGAGGAGGAGGAGGAGGAGGAGGAGGAGGAGGAGGAGGGGGAGGAGGAGGAGGAGGGGTTCCGTAGCCATTCTGGCTTAAGCCAATTTCTTGCCCGCTTTCGGACCATCTTGGCTCACCAGTCATGGCATGGCGCGTGGCAGGCATGGCGACGGGGAGTTCGGCCAAAGCTCAGCCGGCCGGCGGCACCAGATGGCCGTCACACCGCGAACGACGAGAGGCTCAGCATTGGGCCCGGCTCTCACGGGAACGACTGGTATGGAAGCAAGCAGCGCGGCTGCAAGAATTGGAGTCACTATACAACGCCACGCCTGAGACCACCAGGCGGCTCGCCTTCGTCGCGCCCGTGCTGAACGCGCAGCTCTCGGACCAGGACATCGAGCATCCCAAAATACTGCGACGGAACGTCGCCTCCCATGCTCGCCGCCTGCCTGCACCAGGAGCTCCTGACGCCAGCTGGCGGAAGGCGCGGCGTGGGCCGAGGCTCAGCCGCCCAAGCAACCCCCACAGGGTCTCGTCGAAGCTGAGGGCCGAGGCCGATGTCTTCGTGCCCCTCGAGCACGGCGCGATCCAGCCGCAGTACGGCCACGAGGAGCAGCACCAGCAGCGCCAGTATTCGCCTGGGGTCGCCTACCCTTCGGCCCACTGCCTTCGTCGCACGGCGGAGGAGGCAGCGCGCGCTGCCACAGCGCGCCGCAACAACGCCGAGCTTTTCGAGACCAAAGAAAGGCAGGGCAGGCACCATAACACCTTCGAGGCGGAAGCGAGCACCGCGAACGGCCAGGCCAGTTCCACGGAGGACGACGACCAGGAGGCCTACGGCAACCAGCAGAGCACCGAACGCAACCAGGGCAGGCACCAGAACACCTTCGTGGCGGGGGTGAGCACCGCGAACGGCCAGGCCGGCTCCACGGAGGACGGCGACCAGGAGGCGAACGGCAACCAGCAGCGTACCCAGCGCAACCAGGGCAGGCATTTGAACATTTTCGAGGCGGAGGCGAGCACCGAGAACGGCCAGGCCAGCCCCACGGAGGACCACGACCAGGAGGCCAACGGCAACCAGCCGCGCACCAAGACGGAGGCAGAGGACGGCTCCAACGACGCCCAGGACGCGTGCGGCGACCAGCTGCACACCGCGGAGAGGCAGGGCAGGCGCCAGAACACTTTCGAGGCTAAGGTGCGCACCGCGAACGGCAAGGCGAGCTCCTTTGAGGACGGCGCCCAGGAGGCCTACGGCAACCAGCAGAGCACCGAGCGCAACCATGGCAGGCACCAGAACACCTTCGAGGCGGAGGTGAGCACCGCGAACGGCCAGGCCGGCTCCGCGAAGGACGACGACCAGAAGGTCAATGGCGAACAGCTGCGCACCGAGCGCGGCCAGGGCAGGCGCCAGAACACCGTCGAGGCGGAGGCGAGCAACGGGGGCGCGCAGGAGGACCCCGCGCGGTGGGGGGCCGCACAAACAACCCCCAACTGCCCCGAGCGCGAGAAGAAAAAGCGGCGACGACGAAGAGCAAAGAGGGGGAACGACGAGGAGACGACTGGCGCAGCCAGCACTTGGGAAAGCGGCCTGATCCCTCCATCTGCACGCAGGCCGTTGACAGTCTTCGAGGATGACCTCGAGGACGGGCTCGAGGGGGATCTCGAGGACAACCTCGCCACCTCGGAACACCAGGCGATCCTGCGCGCGCGCCTAACCCTAGTGCAGGTGATGGGCGCTCCCGCCGCGTTCGCCGCGCTCCCGACGGATCTGCAGACCTCCTTCGCTGAGGCTTCGATCACCGAGCTCTCGGCTTACGTGGGCTTTCAACGATGGCACTCGAGAGAAGGCGGCGACGCGCGAAGGGCCGCCGCCGCCAAAGCTTGGGCATCCCTCGACGGCGATGACACGGCCGAGTGGGTCCCCGACAACCCGAGCGCCGTGCTCGCAGCTGACACGATGTGGGCGCCCCTCCTGCAACTCGATCAGAACGAGGCCCACGGTCAGCGAGAGACGGACCACAGAAGGCGCGAGCAGCTCCACGACGACAGCTGCTACGAGAACGCGCGGCCCCAGGACGACTCGCACGGCGAGCACTCCGACGGCCGCCACAAGACCTCGACGCCCCCGCGGGGCGAGGCGGTAGGTCCCAGGGCGCGGCCCACCCTGGCAGGGCGAGGGGTTAGGCCCAAGTTCGCGAATGACCAATTCGGCCAGCACTTCGATAACGACCTCTGAGCGATGGGGGGAGTTCGAGCCCCATCGCAGGGGCCAGGACTATCCCCCACCTCCACCAACATCGGGCCCTCGGGGGGATATGGGAACCATTTTGGCTCGGGGGGCCTGCCACTGAGCTTCCCAACCTCGCTCAGCGGGCTCTGACCTTTTGATTTCGGTTTCGTGGGGCCGCAATCCCGTTCTCTTCCGTGTCCGCGCGCCTCCACGTCCAGCCATAGCGGCGTGTGTGCGGCGTGGTCTAATTGTGGGGAGAAGAAGACCCCGTGGTATAATATGCGTTGCCGTTGTCATGCCCCATCGACCTCAATTTCCTCAGCAACCTCCAGCACCCAGATTCTCGGGCAGTCAATGGAAGGGCAGGCACGCAGGAAATCTCGGAAGGGGGGCGAGCTGCACGTCAGTCCGGCTTGTGCAAGGGGGCCACATCCAAGGGAAAGGGCGCCGAAAAAGAGACAGGGGGCCAAGGTGGAAAACGGTTTCGGCAACGGGCGGCAGCGGAGCCTCGACCAAAACCACGCCCAGTTACGAGACCATGGGGCAGGGGGAGATCGCCCGCCCAAGCCAACATAAGGTCAAGCCCCCCACCGCCCGGGGGCCCAGTCTTTGGAGCAGAGCGCGCAATGCACCCTCGCCCAGCCCAAGCAAGCGCAAGTTGATCCAGAAGTAGTTTCCCAGTTTGAGGCGTCGGTGGGTTCGGCGCAGCAGGAACGTTCGGCACGGCAGCCTCCGTCGCAAGTTTTACGCCGGGGAGAAATAGCGATCAACAACAAGCAGAAGCGACTTGAGAAACTCCCGGGTAAAGTTCAAGACGCGCCTGTCATCATGGAGCCCCTTCAGCCCCAAAAGGACCACCTCCAGGAACATTCAGAAACTGCGCAGTCCGAGATCATCTCGGCCCAGCACCAGCAGGCGAAGCGTCTCCAGGAGCATGTCCCAGACAGGGGCAGTGAGAGGAAATTGTAAGCCCTTCTCGAGGCCTTCGGAGTTCATCCCGGTAATGAGCGTAGTTCGGCAGGATATCAGTCGAAGCTCCAGGACCAAGGTTTGCGGGGAGAGGGCGAGGGCGAGGACGAAGAAGGCAGTGTGAACACTATCCCCATTCTCATGCTAATAGTACGCCGATGAAGCCCTCGATGAACTCGACGAAGAGAAAGAGAGAGAGAGAGAGAGAGAGAGAGAGAGAGAGAGAGAGAGAGAGAGAGAGAGAGAGAGAGAGAGAGAGAGAGAGAGAGAGAGAGAGAGAGAGAGAGAGAGAGAGAGAGAGAGAGAGAGAGAGAGAGAGAGAGAGGGAGAGAGAGAGAGAGAGAGAGAGAGAGAGAGAGAGAGAGAGAGAGAGACTACACCAACGGGCAGAAGAGGCCAAAAGATGTGGATGGACATTGGCGCGCCCTTGGTCAAGCTTCAGAATTCCCGTGTTTTTTTCGTGAGTCGGCCCCTCCACGAGCCACTCCAAAGGCGCATGCGCAGTTGGTGGGAAAGTATGCGCCGAAGCCAGTGGCAAAGGGAACGAAGCACAAGGGCATGGGCTGCAGGTCAGAGAGGGCGGAGCCCTGGGAAAGGGGGGCGCAGTGGCAGCAGCAGGAGGAGGAGCACCACCCCCAGCAGGAGCAGCTGCACCAGGATGCCCCCAGTCAGCGGACTCTGCCAGTGGCAACACAGGTTCAGCATCAGCAGTCAGCTCAGGAGGAGGAGCAGGAGACGCCCCTTGCCGACTCCCCCCCTGTACCTCTGCGAAGGGTTTTCGGGCCCTTCGGCGCCGCCCTCGAAGTCGAGGGGCAGCCGGCGGCGCCGTCGCCCCGCGCCCCCCCCCCCCCCCCGACTTCTCCATCGTCGCGCCAACGCGCCACCACGGCGAAAAGGGTGAGGCACTCTCGGGCATTGATGCAGATGTCGCGCTGGTGCAGGAACACAAGTTGCGCGGGCAGCAGCATCAGGATGTTGCATCAGCACAAAGGAGGAAAGGATGGAATCTTTTCGGGGCAGACGGCTTTCCAGGAAAACATGGGCGACTATCGAGCGGTACCTTGGTCACCCCAAGTCGAGGAGGTAAGTGTGTCATTAGCACTGCGAGCGTCGTCATCGTCGCCAGTTACTCCGTCGGCCTTGGGCGAGAACATGGGATGCGTGAAAAGCGCGGGGCAGGATGTGTCGAATCATGGGCACTCCCATATCGTAAGGGGGACGATTTCAACATCCTGGTACATGATTTGTTCGATAATGTCGAGCTCATCCAGCTAGACGGCCGCGCGCAGGCAGACGATGCGATCCCCGCGTCAAAGTCGGGACAACATGAATCCATAGTAGATTAGGTTCTGGCATCCAGTCTCCTGTCACATGCGGTCTCCAAGGTGGCCGCCGACCTAGATGCCCCCCTGGGGCCCCGCAGGTACGTGGCTCTCACGCTTCGTTGGGCAACTAAGGATATCGCGGCACTCGCAACAGACAGGCGCACGAGAAAGGCCCCAGCAGTCGAGCCATCGGCCCAGCCAGGGCCCCGCCAGACTACGCGGACCGAAAAGAGAAGTTGCACAGGTTGCTCGATAAGTGCCAGAAGGCCGAGGATATGCACCCTTCTGTGGATCCAGCTGGCAGCGATTATCAGGACGGGCTCGCTCTTCTAGATCAGGTCTCTTCGGAGTGGAATGAGAGGCGCCGGCAAGAAGCGCGCGAGGCTACCCAGGCCCCCCCGCCCAAGGGCAAGACGCTTGGGGGCCGCCCCGCATGCGCGGAGGCCCCATCTGGCCAAACTATGGATGACGAAGCAAGACGACAGATCCATGCCGGAGCGAGCGTTAGCCTCGGCGGTGGACAGATTCACTGAGATACGCCCCATCTACTTCCGCGCCCCAACTTGCACATCCAAGTAGAGAGCTCACCTCGATCGACTCCTAGCCCCCCTCTTCCAGCTCCCGAGGAAATGCGGGCCCTCCCGCGAGCACTTCCTCAGTCGCCAGAACCTGCCTCCCTGCCCAGTGCTCCTCTCACCTTCTTTGCCAACTTGCAAGAGTCTAGCCGGGGGAAAGGCAAGAAGCAGCAGCAGCGCACATGGGAAGAGCGACGTGCATGCGAAGGAGGGCCAGCTAGCACTTCGGCACTTGAAGGTGAAGCGTCAGCTGGGAAAGGAGACCACCAGCACAGATCACTGACCATCTTCGTCTTTGTCAGAATTCGGGCAGGTGACATGGCAGTCGCGGTCGCTAAAGTGGGCGGCTACCCCAACCCAATCCCCGAAGCCAGACTGGATGCAGCGGCGCGGAGCGTGCGATGTCCCAGGGGCATTGCCACCTGTCAATTTCAGAAAACTGGCAGCAGCCTTCAAAGTTCGCACGCGTCAGCCCGACTGATATCATCCTCGCCGCGTCGGTTTTGGTCGCTTCGAAGAATGTTTGGAAGCACCAGGTCCGATATATACCTTAATGGACGCGCTTGGGGAAGCCCCCCAACGAGCGCGCTCTCCGGCAGCTACTAGCACTGACGCGCGAAGGAGGAGGACGCAGATGCACAGGTTTTCTCCCAGTCACGGTGAGGGTCCACGGCAAGATTGCAGCAAGGCAGTGCAAGGACTGGGGGCGGGATCATGGGCCAGGTCCAGAGGCCAGTGCGGGCTAGAGTAGAAATCCAGAACATACAGCATGGAGGCAAGCAGCTCGCAGCGACGCAGCAGCTGGTGCAGGGCAATATCTAGCGGCGCCGCGGGATCTGAAGAGCTTATACGAAGTGGTTGATTACTATGCCCCATGGAAGCATGGCAGGAGTAGGAAGTATTGCATGCGCGTGCTTATGTATTCTACTAACATGTACCGCTGGCCACGTCGGGCACTGCTAAGCGGGGCCCTCTCGTCCCAGGTCTATTCAGATAGGGGCGTCGCGGCAGGCGGCAGTCTGGCGACGTGCGAAGCCAAGGCTTTCCGTATACCCGTCATGAGTACAGTCGTTTCACTTGGTTGCACAAACCTGTTCGGGCCTGTCGGTGGTATCAATGCTGGAAAATATTGCTGCACATGCGATCATAATGACGGAGGAGCTAGATAAGGCCATGCCGAAGCTAGCCACGCCGACGATCAGCATAGCAGGAAGCTCTGCGCAAATTGCGGATAAGGCAAAGGCGGCATTGCAGCGACTGGCAGGCACGAAATCTTGGGCCGCGGAGAATCTAGACATTGTTCCCCGGCCAGCAAGCACGCCAAGAACCGTCGGGCAAGGCCTCTCCGCAAGCGCAGGCTGATCACGATGATGACCAGGGCAATCCGACTCCACCGCGAGAAAAGAACCCAAGATCAAGCAGGTGAAGGGCCGCTTCTTCTCGACGGGAGTCCGATCTACAATGCGCTGCGGAGCAGCTATGGCGGGCTTCGCTCCGGGCGAGATCCGCGCGCTGAGAACCTCGCAGGCCAATGCATCGCCTTGGCGCCAAAAGCGGGCCCAGTCAGACCTGGCGGGCCTCACTCACGACAACGGAAAAAGACCCGCTCCACTTTGCAGCAGCAGGTATTGACAGGCATGGAACTGCCCAACTTCTGCTGGACCTTCAATGGGGTGGACTACTCGGGCTTCCCCTCCGACGGGCACCAGCAACACCACTCACATCAGCAGCAGGAGCCGCCGCAGGAGCGGATCGCGCTGCCGAAGGCGGTGCCGGAGGTAGGAGCGAGGGCCCCGCCGCCGCCGCCCCCTGCTCCCAGGGCGCGCCCGAAGCCTGCCCTGCCGTCAACCTCCAAATAGAGGGGCGCAGACGGTCGCAGGCATCCTGTTTTCAGGCCTCCCCTCCCAAGGGGAACGCCCCGGACACACCTCCTGCCTAGAGGGCCATCTCCCCCGAAGGCCGTCCTCGAGAAGAGGGCCACGGCTACAAGGTCAAGCTGCGCCCCATGGGTCAGAACGTCACGGACGAAGCGCACTTGGTTTGAGGTGCCTGTGGAGCTGGTGAGGTTTTTGATCTGACAACAGCTCTATAACAGCACCACAACAGGCACTTCTTTCATTCGGGCTCCCCTTCCAGT